GGAGGTATACCATCTTTTAGGAGTGAAGAAGAGCAGGATGCGAGTATGGGGGAGGTGCATGAGGCATTACGTACAATGAAAGAGGGTAAAGCAGCTGGAACTGACGGGATCATGACAAATATTAAAAGCTGGGGGGGGGGGATATAGTGTTGGACTGGTTGGTATTTTTGTTTAATAAATGTATGAAAGTTACAGTTCCTAGGGATTGGCAGAGAGCTTGTATACTTCCTTTATATCAAGGGAAGGGGCACAAAAGAGATTGTAAAAATTATATGGGAATAAGTTTATTGAGTATACCAGGAAAAGTGTACGGTAGGGTTATTATTGAAAGAATTAGAAGTAAGACAGAGAGTAGGATTTCGGATGAGCAATGAGGCTTTAGAGTGGGTAGGGGATGTGTAGATCAAATGTTTACATTGAAGCATATATGTGAATAGTATTTAGGTAAAGGTAGGGAAGTTTTTATTGTATTTATGGATTTAGAAAAGGCATATGATAGTGGATAGAGGAGCAATGTGGCAGATGTTGCAAGTATGTGGAATAGGTAGTAAGTTACTAAATGCTGTAAAGAGTTTTTATGAAGATAGTGAGGCTCAGGTTAGGATGTGTAGAAGAGAGGGAGACTACTTCCTGGTAAAAGTAGGTCTTAGACAGGGATCTCCAGCTAGCTGGAGATTTGTCTGTAAAAACTTGCATTTGTAGTCAGTGGTGCCTATGCTAACCTTCCTATGGTGTAGAAATATACCTAGTTGGATGAATCTTATTGTGGCTGGCTGGCCCAGTGGCTAATGTGACGGTCTGGAGTTTCAAGACTGATCGTGGGTTCTTTTCCCACCCGTTGTATGGTTTGTTTGCAATCGTGTCATTACGATTTCGCGTGTCAACTATTTTTACTATGACAATGTAAAATTTAAGTATCATATGATAGAATTTTTAGAAAATATTAAGTTAACAAAAGTACTGCGTAGACATAATGAAATGTTTAACTAATGGAGGAAGGTCCATGGCTGCCTCATTTAGCCACTTATTTTACAGCAGACAAATCAAACAGTTTTCTGAAGCGTTCCCAATTTTAGTTAATTATTTGAAAATTTGTTTCTTAAGTACTGCAATTGAGGGGTTTACTGTATTATTTCCAGTGGATTGCAAGGGTCATTAACCCCTAAACGGTCCAAACGTATATATACAGTGGATCCCCGAGTTTCGTGATTAATCCATTCCAGAGAGCCTGCTGAAAGTCGATATTCACGAAACTCGGAACCATTTTCCCCATAAGAAATAATGGAAATAAAATTAATCCGTTCCAGACACCCAAAAATATTAAAATAATTTTTTTTTTTTAAATTAAATGAAGATTTACATACTGAAAACAATCAGAAATCAAGTACATATATGTACATGCATTTAAAAAAATATAACAACATTACACTTACCTTTACTGAAGACTTCTGGGTGGATGGAAGATGGGAGGAGGGGATAGGAAGGTGTACACTATTGTTTGGAAGGAGAATCTCCTTACATTAGGTCTTCAGGTATGAAGTCCTTATCTGGGGTTACTTCCCTTTGTTTTTTTAAAGACACTGGCACTGGGAACAACTTGAGAGCCACTGGATCCCTGTCGCACAAAATATCTGTCCAGAGAGCTCTGTTTCTGGCGTTTCTTTAAGATTTGTCTGAAGTGGGACACAATACTGTCATTGTACATGTTGCCAATACAGTCTGCAACAGCTTGTTAGGGTGAAGTTCAGTCCACTTTGCACAAATGTCCTTAATCTTTGAAGAAGGCACCTTCCTCCATCTCTCTTCCTCCTCTGCAGCAGTTTCCTTGCACTAGCTTTCCTTAGGCCCATGGTGACTTATTTAGCAGTTGCAATCACAAAAAAACAATGGATTATTACGTATGAACCTGCGGGGTGATGGTCACGTGTTGGTAAATAATGGCACACCGAGCGTGAATGGCGTAGGAGACTGGCTTGGTGTGCGCGGTGACAGGCGGACGGGTACCTGACGGTCGCCGAATCATAAGTCTAATCACGAAACTCTAGGCCAAATTTTGCCAAAAAAGCTCGTCGAAAGTCGATGCTGCCGAGACTCGAGGGTCCACTGTAAGTTCTTACGCGTAGCGCCCCAGACGTATTATACGTTTTAATTTTGCTGCCTCCAAATTTGGCACGATTGGCCCGAGATGCCTGGTCAGCATAGAATGGATCTTAACACTCGGTGTGCCCAGTATTAAAAAAAAATCTGGGACCACTTAGTACCTTGTGGGAGCGCCAGTTAAATTGAGTGCCATCTAGAGCAAACAGTGTGGCAGACACCAAGGATTCACTGATGTAATGTCATATTAACACTTCTTTGAAGAAGAAAGTGATGTTAACCCCAAGTTTAGGGTCTGTCGATCTGTCTATCTCTGTCTCTATCTCTTTCAATCTGTCTATCTCTCTCACAGGTACACATAAATACAAGTATACATATTATAAATTACCTAGCATAACTCAAAAATCCAGACAAAGTGCTATATTCTGCTTGAAGATGTGAGTAAACGTGATGGCGCAATCTTGTGGCTCTGTCTGAGACAGAGAGCTAGACAGATAGACAAATACAGAAATGTTTGTGTACCAGCGAAAACAAATTGAAGGCAATGCTCATCAAATGTCACCTCTAATTTTTTCTTATCAGCTGCACCCTCCCCACCCTCGTGTATTCTCATCAAAGGTCAGTTCTTATCTGATGTTATCTCATCATGTTACTGTCAGGGGTGGACTTTGTTTTTCATGCTTCGAGGAACTTATTACCTATTATTATTATTACGTATTCTCCTCCTCCCTCAATCCCGCCCGCCCTCCCTCTTCTTCCTCCTCCTACTTCCTCCTTCCTCATTGCTGGGACCTATAAATACTTTGTTTATATTCCAAGACAATAGTAAATGGCCAAAGCAGGTGTAAATGTCCACCTGTCAGTGTGTTTGTGACAATTTGAGTAAAATTTCAGTGCCTAATACTAATGTCAGAACAAAGATTGGTTATGAAGTAACAAGAACCACTATAAATTGTAATTATCAGAACATAAATTTTTTTTTTTTAACAAGCCGGCCATCTCCCACCAAGGCAGGGTGACTGAAAAAGAAAGAAAATCCCCAAAAAGAAATTACTTTCATTATCATTCAACACTTTCACCTCACTCTCACATAATCACTGTTTTTGCAGAGGTGCTCAGAACACAACAGTTTAGAAGCATATACGTATAAGGATACACAACATACCCCTCCAAACCGCTAATATCCCAAACACCTCCTTTAGAGTGCAGGCATTGTACTTCCCATTTCCAGGACTCAAGTCCGGCTATATAAAAATAACCGGTTTCCCTGAATTCCTTCACTAAATATTACCCTGCTCACAAATACCATTCGTCTCCATTCACTCCCATCGAACACGCTCATGCACGCCTGCTGGAAGTCCGAGCCCCTCGCCCACAAAACCTCCCTTACCCCTTCCTTCCAACCTTTTTGAGGACGACCCCTACCCCGCCTTCCTTCCCCTACAGATTTATACGCTCTCCATGTCATTCGACTTTGATCCATTCTCTCTAAATGACCAAATCGCCTCAACAACCCCTCTTCTGCCCTCTGACTAATACTTTTATTAACTCTACACCTTCTCCTAATTTCCACACTCCGAATTTTCTGCATAATATTTACACCACACATTGCCCTTAGACAGGACATCTCCACTGCCTCCAACTGCCTCCTTGCTGCTGCATTCACAACCCAAGCTTCACACCCATATAAGAGTGTTGGTACTACTATACTTTCATACATTCCCTTCTTTGCCTCCATAGATAATGTTTTTTGTCTCCACATACCTCAACGCACCACTCACCTTTCTGCCCTCATCAATTCGATGATTAACCTCATCCTTCGTAAATCCATCCGCCGACACGTCAACTCCTAAGTACAGTGGACCCCCGCATAACGATCGCCTCCGAATGCGACCAATTATGTAAGTGTGTTTGTACGTGTATGTTTGGGGCTCTGAAATGGACTAATCTACTTCACAATATTCCTTATGGGAACAAATTCGGTCAGTACTGGCACCTGAACATACTTCTGGAGTGAAAAAATATCGTTAACCGGGGGTCCACTGTATCTGAAAACATTCACTTCTTCCATACTACTCCTCCCCAATTTGATATCCAATTTTTCTTTATCTAAATCATATGAGAAATAGATAAAAAGGTATATCGGCAAACCTTCTGCAAGAGGCAGGACTCCGTTGCCGTCACATGAGCAGCCAGTGCCAACTTCTCGGCCTCATGTCTCTAAGTACTCGCCCTAATTTTTTTTTATTCTGAAACACTTCAAAATGTGTTTTGTTTCATTTTTTTTTTTTTTTTTTCCCAAAAATATTCGGGGCACTGTATACATGTTTGGACCGTTTAAAGGTTAAGTATGTAAGTGATTCCTTACATGTTTTATGAAGAATTATTATTTAGCAAATAATGATGACTTTAAATTATCACACGTACAGGGCCAAAATCCCACCTAATCACAGCCCAGGTTACTGGAAGATTTGCACCATCTCTAAATGACCTGGACCATAAAAGTGTTAAAATGCAACCTTGGCCCATACATTAAAGTTTAGTTAGTGTAATGGGGTTTATTGTAATGTAAAGAAATGGAAGTATCATACCAAAATAACCAGTTGAGGCCACTCTTGGTCAAGGCTGATGGTTCTCAAAGTATTGATATTATTGGCTACACATTTGTAACTGCAGGTAAGCTTTTTTTTTTTTTTTTTTTTTTTTTTTTTTTTTTTTTTTTTTAACAATTACAGCATTTTCTCTATACTGTGTCTTTGATCTTGTTCTTCAATGTGAATCATAATAACAAAAGTGTTTGTGTGTCAGGGACCCACTGTACTGCATTATGAATTGCTAAACATTTTATAATTCAATGTGTTTTTAAACTAGGATGGATACTAAGAGAACTTTAATTTTTCCAGGGAAATGTTATCACCAGATGTGAAAAATATCATTGATGTTGCAGGCAATACTATATCAATTACAAGTGATAGTGGCACCGTTCACTCCTTCAGCTACGACCACTGTTTTAACTCTAGTGATCCATTGGATCCACTGTATGCTTCACAAGAAGCCATATATGTTGCTGTAGCACAACCTCTCTTGGAGAAGGCATATGAAGGTTACAACACTTGCCTTTTTGCATATGGCCAAACTGGTTCTGGGAAGAGTTATACGTAAGTAGTACGTTCCACCACTTTGCTAATGATGTACAGTAAAGCCTCTCATTAATGGACTGTTAGTAATTGTACGATAATGCAGATTTTCCGCAACTCCTGAATTGTGTAATTAACATTTTGCAATCATCCAGTTGTCTTCTGTAGTAGTGGACCTGGTTTGCTGATGCAGAAGACAACTGGACTCTAAGACTATGGGTATTGCAACCTGTAGCACTGTACTGTATAGCAATTTAAAAGTATTTATGTAATTTGCAGTAATTTTACTTGCCTTTTCATGGTGGAGAGATGAAGTGTAAATTGCCATGATCAATAGTGGTGATTCATAATAACTATTATTCTGAGTCAGATCAGCAGTAAAACTCCACTAGCAAAAATAATGTAACTGGCTGAGATGTAGATTACTGATAAGACTCAGATTTCTGAGAACCATGCTGAGTACCCAGTGTTTTCTCTTGACACCATCACTTGCTTTTGATCTGAAGGACAAGTGTGTGTGTGAATGAGTACAAACAATATGCAGTAGGGCCCCACTTATACTGCAAGTTAGGTTCCAGGCTACTGCTGGAAAGCAGAACACTAATTTTTCCACTTATAAATGCATATAAATACCAGATAACAAGTTTACACTAACATATAGTAAGTTAGCAATAGAACTAGGCATTACAAATCAATAAAAAGTAAAATACTCACACAGTACACTCATTACTTACCTCAAAATATTTGTAATCCTAATGGAGGGTGAGAGGTGAGTAGTATTTATTGTAAGAAGTCAGGTTTGGTAGGTATGGTAGCCCTCCTGGCCATCCCACCCACACGTAATATACGACAACATTTGAAGCACCTTAGAGCAATAAGATGCATGTATAGTACACTTATTACTTACCTTAAAATATTTGTAGTCTTAATGGTCTAAATGTAGGGTGAGGTGAATAATATTTATTTGTAGGAAGTCAGGTGTGAGAGTTATGGTAGCTTGCCTGGCCAACCCACCTACAACATTTAAAGCACCTGCCCACAATGCTCTGCATATAAGGGGCCTTTGGCATGTACACTCAACCACTGTATTTCTTTTGTACAACTAAGTATCTGTTTTTTTTTTTTTTTTTTTTTTTCTCTCTCGACAAGTTGGCCATCTCCCGCCGAGGCGGGGTGACCCAAATAATACTAAATGAATAAATAGTGATAAAATGCATATTAAGTACACTTATTGCTTACCTTAAAATATTTGTAGTCTTAATGTAGGGTGAGAGGTGAGTAAATGAGATAAAAATGAACAAGAGGGAGAGAGAGAGAACAAGTAAATGAAAGAGGACAGAGCTGCAGAGTATGTAAACAAATAGATGAATGTGTCTGGTTCATTCATGTTCATTTCCATGTTTGTGAAGCTTATATCATAATAAACACTATACAAGTTGTCTCCAAATTGGTAAAGTAGAAAAAATAAAAGAGCAAAACTCCCATTCTCATGTAACACCATTTTTAGAAGGAATGATGCTCTGAGTGAAGGCATACGAAAAGAATAACTTTCTACACCACAGTCATACTATTATGTACACATTTTCTTTGGTGTTGAACTCTAGATAATGTTATTCTTTCCCACACTCCGGCAAGACGACTAGAAAAACATCTCCCCCCCCCCCCACCACCACCACAAGTTGGCCACTCCCACCAAAGCAGGGTAACCCAAAAAAGAAAATCCCCAAAAAGAAAATACTTTCATCATTCAACACTTTCACCTTATACATAATCACTGTCTTTGCAGAGGCACCCAGATACAACAGTTTAGAAGCATATATAATAAGATATATAACATATCCCTCCAAACTGCCAATATCCCAAACCCCTCCTTTGAAGTGCAGTCATTGTACTTCCCATTTCCAGTACTCAAATCCGGTTATATAAAAATAACCGGTTTCCCTGAATCCCTTCACTAAATATTACCCTTCTCACACTCCAACAGCTCATCAGGTCCCAAAAATCGTACGTCTCCATTCACTCCTATCTAACATGCTCATGCATGCTTGTTGGAAGTCCAGGCCCCTCACCCACAAAACCTTTACCCCCTCCCTCCAACCTTTTTGAGGATGACCCTACCCCGCCTTCCTTCCCCTACAGATTTATATGCTCTCCATGTCATTCTACTTTGATCCATTCTCTCTAAATGATCAGACCACCTCAACAACCCCTCTTCAGCCCTCTGACCAATACTTATAGTAACTCCACTCCTTCTCCCGATTTCCACACTCCGAATTTTCTGTATAATATTCACACCACACATTGCCCTTAGACAGGACATCTCCACTGCCTCCAACTGCCTCCTCGCTGCAGCATTTACAACCCAAGCTTCACACCCATATAAATGTTGGTACCACTATACTTTCATGTGCACCACTCTCCTTTTTTCCTTCATCAATTCTGTGGTTAACCTCATCCTTCATAAACCCATTTGCTGACAAGTCAACTCCCAAATATCTGAAAACATTCACTTCTTCCATACTCCCTCTCTACAATGTGATATCCAATTTTTCTTTATCTAAATCGTTTAATACCCTCATTACCTTACTTTTATCGATGTTCACTTTCAACTTTCTACCTTTACACACCCTTACAAACTCATCCACTAACCTTTGCAACTTTTCTTTAGAATCTCCCATAAGCAGCGTATCATCAGCAAAAAGTAACCATGTCGACTCCCATTTTGTATTTGATTTCCCATGATTTAATCCCACCCATCTCCCCAACACCCTAGCATTTACTTCTTTTACAACCCCATATATAAATATATTAAACAACCATGGTGACATTACACTCTTAGTGATTTTAACATGTACCTGCATGCCAGCACACTTTGTAAGTTTATGTTCAGGTACACATAAGTGTAATTATCAGCATATATAAAAAATATGAAATAACTTTAAAGTGAAATTTTGGAAAGTTTCCAGACATTATGGAGAGTCATGCTCACAGAGAATGTAAACAAACTGGGTGGGGCGCTGTGACCGTATTAGAAAGTCAGGTGGGGGGAAGCCATTTAGAAAGTTTTGGCCGTAATTTGTAATGTTCATATTAGCGGAATGCCATAAGGCAAAATGCCGGAAAGTGGCGCGCTACTGTACTGGCTTGGGTGGCCTGTGGGTCGCGGAACAATGAGAACAGACAGGTCTTGGACTTGGCTGCTTTGGCCAGTACTGGATAAACTTTGGAGTTAGTGGACTTGGCTGATACTTCAGAAGACAACCGGACGCTGTTGCTGTGGACAAAATGCTGAGTTATGAACTTTTGTCCATTTTTCCCCACTAATCAGAGGGCTTGTCTGATCAGTTTTTTTTGTCCAGAATTTCAAAAATCCGTGAATGAGAGGTTTTACTGTTTTAATATTGTTCATTCTAATTAGACTTTAAAGTGCAATACAAGCAGACCATGTTAAATAGTTTACTATTTTGTTGGAAGTCTTCAAACTTAATTCAGCCGTTGTGTTAAGAGATTTAATGACATTCAGCATCAGTAATGAAAAGCAAAATGATTCTCTCTAGTTATAGTGGACAAACTGCAGACTGTGTCAGCTATATGTAAGGAAGAGTTGAGGAATTAAGCAACAAAGATATTGCTATAGTGATAAATTGGTAAATAAAAAAATTGCAAAAGATACATATTGTAATGGTATGCAAGACAAAACAAGAAGTTTCTGAAATCTTTTAGGCATAGGGGCTGTTAAGGTACCTCATTATATAAGCAGGCAACGTAGCTTAAATATAATTTTGAAGTTTCACAAATATTAGTGTGTTGAGAATAAGTTTTGAAACAGCATTGAATATTGTATTTAATGGTCATGCTTATAGGAGTAAAAAGTTTTTTTTGTCTTAGTGTTGTGACTTTTGAATAATTTTAAATTAATTTCTGGGCTGTAGGCAGTGAGGGATGTATACTTTAGTTAAAAAATGACTGAGTTAGTATGGAATGGTTTGAGTAACAACCACAAGCTTAACCTATGATGGTTCTTTCCACTGTACATTGATTATTGTTTAATGAGTATTTAAAATACATGTAGTATGTATTTTAAATATTCATCAACAGAATTACTAACCACACACAAAGATTTACCTAATTCATCCCTGAATGGTTTGTTAGAGGAGTTGGGTGAAGCATCAGCCACCCTAAACCAAACTTTGTGATTAGCTTAAGGAAATACTGAGACCCAGTATCAACTTTCCTAAACACTCCATCTCTTTCACAACCTAACTGATCAGGTAGTTGCAGGAGAGGGTCGTATATTAATAGTGTGTGATATATACATGCAGTGAAATGTATGGTAGAGTTGTTATGAAAGAATTAAGGATAAGATGGAGAGCAGGATCACAGATGACCAAGGTGTTAGGAAAATAAGGGATGTGTAGACCAAGTGTTTGCATTGAAGCATATAAGTAAAGAATATTTAGATAAAGATAAGGAAGTTTGCATTGCTTTCATGGATTTAGAAAAGGCATATGGTAGGTCGTAGGTTACTGAATGCAGTTGACAGTTCTTATGAGGATAGTAAGGCTCAGGTTAGGGTATGTAGGAGAGAGAGTGGGAGATTTTCCAGTAAAAGTAGGCCATAGGCAGTGATGCATGATGTCATCATGGTTGTTTAACATACAGATGGGGTTGTAAAGAAGTGAATGCTAGTGTTGGGGAGAGGTGTGGGATTAAAATAATGCAGGATCTAATCCAAAATGGGAGTTGTCAGTTACTTTTTGCTGATGACACTGTTTTGGGAGATTCTGAAGAGAAGTTGCACTAGTTGGTGGGCAAATTTGGGAGATGTAAAGGTTAGCTGGACTTGAGTCCTGGAAATGGGAAGTACAGTGCCTGCACTTTAAAGGAAGGGTTTGGGATATTGGCAGTTTGGAGGGACACCTAAACTGTCATATCTGAGCGGCTCTGCAAAGACAGCGATTATGTATGACCGATGGTGAAAGTGTTGAATAATGAAGAAGTCTTTTCTTTCTTTTTGGGTCACCCTTCCTTGGTGGGAAATGGCTGATGCGTTAAAAAAAATATAAAGGAAGGGAATTAAAAGTGAACCTTGGAAAAAGTAAGGTGATGTGGGTAACAAATGAGTCGGGTAGAAAAAATTGGATATCAGATTATAAGGAGAATGTGAATGTGTATAGATATTTGGGAGTGGACTTGTCAGCAGGTGGGTATATGAAAGACAATATGAACTATAGAATTGATGAAGGAAAAAAGATAAGTGGTGCATTGAGGCATCTATTGAGACAAAGAACATTATCCATGGAGGCAAAGAGGGGTGTGAAGCATGGGTTGTGAATGATTCAACAAGGAGGAGGCTGGAGGCAGTGGAGATGTATTTTAGGGCAGTGTTGTATAAATATTATGCAGAAAATTTGTAGGTCAGGGATAAGAAGGTGCAAAGTTGCTAAAAGTATTATCCAGAGGGCTGAGAAGGGGTTTTTGAGGTGGTTTGGACATTTAAGAACATGGAGCAAAATAGGATTACTTAGAGGGTGTATAAAATATGTAGTGGATGGGTCTTAGGGGCTGGCCAAAGAAAGGTTGAAGAGAGAGGGTCAAGGAGGTTTTGTTTAAGAAAGGAGTGAGTGCAGGCAAATGGTTTTTGGGACTTGACAAGCTGTTGAAGTGTGAGTAAGGTAAAATTTTGTGAAAGATTTAAGGGAAACTGGTTTGTCAGACTTGAGCTCTGAAGGTGGAAAGTACAGTGCCTGCACTCTTGTAGTTGGAGGGGCATCTGAACTGTGTTATTGGTATGTCTCTGGCAAGACAGTGATGGAGTAAATGATTTTGAAAGTTTTCTTTGTCGAGATGGCGAGTATGTTAAAAAAGAAATGAATACCTTAGTGTGTGTGAATGTGTGTACGTGCGCAAATGTTTGTTAGACTTTATTTTTATTCATGACCTTTTTAAACAAATAATTTTGAATAATTAATTTTAATGTGTTTATCCATAGTCTTTCAGTTTATTATGTAAAGTTTGGTGTATAATGTTTAAATAATGTGTGTTAATTTGCAGGATGTTGGGAGATGATTTATACAGTGAATCTGAATTAGAAGTTCCTTCAGCTGCTGGCATTATCCCTCGCTTCTGTCGGGACCTTCTGAACCGAGCTGATTATTTGCATTCTCTTAACCCACCAGAAGGCCAGGTAGGTCTCTGAATCTTCTGAGCTCTGCTGGTTTGCACTCTCATCCCTCTGAGGGACAGGTTCCTGTCTCTCTATTAAAATTACATTCTAGGTAAACATAAGAACATAAGAAAGGAGGAACACTGCAGGAGGCCTGCTGGCCCATACTAGGCAGGTCCTTTACAATTCATCCCACTAACAAAACATTTGCCCAACCCAATTTTCAATGCCACCCAAGAAATAAGCTCTGATGTGAAAGTCCCACTCAAATCCAACCCCTCCCACTTATGTACTTATCCAACCTAGATTTGAAACTACCCAAAGTCCCAGCCTCAATAACCCAACTAGGTAGACTGTTCCACTCATCAACTACCCTATTTCCAAACCAATACTTTCCTATGTCCTTTCTAAATCTAAATTTATCTAATTTAAATCCATTACTGCGGGTTCTCTCTTGGAGAGACATCCTCAAGACCTTATTAATACCTATCTTCCACTTATACACTTCGATCAGGTCTCCCCTCATTCTTCGTCTAACAAGTGAATGTAACTTAAGATTCTTCAGTCTTTCTTCATAAGGAAGATTTCTAATGCTATGTATTAATTTAGTCATCCTACGCTGAATGTTTTCTAACGAATTTATGTCCATTTTGTAATACGGAGACCAGAACTGAGCTGCATAATCTAGGTGAGGCCTTACTAATGATGTATAAAGCTGCAGTATGACCTCTGGACTTCTGTTGCTTACACTTCTTGATATAAATCCCAGTAATCTATTTGCCTTATTACGTACACTTAGGCATTGCTGTCTTGGTTTAAGGTTGCTGCTCACCATAACCCCCAAGTCCTTTTCGCAATCTGTATGGCTAAGTTCTACATCATTTAACTTATAAGTACTAGGGTTATGGGCACTCCCAAGCTTCAGAACCGTGCATTTATCTACATTGAACTGCATCTGCCACTTTTCTGACCAAGAATAGAGTTCGTTTAAATCCTCCTGAAGTTCCATAACATCTACGTTTGAATCATTTATCCTACCTATCTTTGTGTCATCGGCGAATTTGCTCATATCACTAGTAATTCCCTCATCAAGATCATTGATATATATTATAAACAACAACGGGCCCAAGACTGATCCCTGTGGAACGCCACTTGTTACAGATCCCCACTCGGATTTAACCCCATTTATGGACACACTCTGCTTCCTGTCAGTGAGCCATGACTCGATCCACGAGAGCACTTTTCCCCCAATGCCATGAGCTGCCACTTTCTTTAACAGTCTATGGTGTGGAACTCTATCAAAAGCTTTACTAAAATCTAAGTAAATAATATCAAATTCTTTATTGTGGTCAACAGCCTCAAAAGCTTTACTGAAGAAAGTCAATAAATTAGTTAGACAAGACCGGCCTCTTGTGAATCCATGCTGAGTATCATTAATCAAGCTATGCTTATCGAGATGGCTTCTTAAAATCTCAGCTATAATTGACTCTAGTAATTTGCCTACAATTGAGGTCAGGCTTATTGGGCGGTAATTTGACGGTAACGACTTGTCCCCTGTTTTAAAAATAGGAATTACATTAGCCATCTTCCACATATCAGACACTACACCTGTTTGAAGAGATAAATTAAAAATATTAGTTAATGGTTCACAGAGTTCCATTTTGCATTCCTTAAGAACCCTTGAAAAAACCTCATCAGGACCCGGCGACTTGTTTTGCTTCAGTCGGTCTATCTGCTTCACAACCATCTCACTAGTGATTGTGATGTTACATAATTTATCTTCTTCTAGCCCACTGTAAAAATTAATTACTGGAATATTGTTAGTGTCTTCCTGTGTAAAAACAGAGAAAATAATTATTTAAAATCAAGCACATTTCATTCTCTTTGTCAGTAAGGTGCCCATAGTTATTTTTAAGGGGACCTATCTTATCTCTAACTTTTGTTCTATAGACCTGGAAAAAACTTTTTGGGTTAGTTTTAGAATCCCTAGCAACTTCAATTTCATAGTCCCTTTTAGCTTTTCTTATCCCCTTTTTAATGTCCCTCTTAATGTCAATATACTGATTCATAAGATGACCCTCACCTCTTTTGATACGCCTATAAATTCCTTTCTTATGCCCTAGTAGATATTTGAGCCTATTATTCATCTATTTTGGGTCATTTCTATTTGATCTAATTTCTTTATATGGGATAAACGCTCTTTGAGCAGCATGTATAGTGTTCAGAAAACTGTCATATTGATAGCTCTCTTCGTTACCCCAGTCAACAGATGATAAGTGTTCTCTAAGCCCATCGTAATCTGCTAAGCGAAAATCTGGGACTGTTACTGAGTTATCGCTACTTTCGTACTTCCATTCAATGCTAAATGTAATTGATTTGTGGTCGCTAGCACCCAGTTCCTCTGAAATTTCTAAATTATTAACAAGGGATTCATTGTTTGCCATAACTAAGTCAAGCAGGTTATTTCCCCTTGTAGGTTCTGTCACAAACTGCTTCAAAAAACAATCCTGAAATACTTCTAAGAAGTCGTATGATTCTAAATTCCCAGTCAAGAAATTCCAATCAACATGACTAAAGTTAGTCTCCTAGAATTACTACATTATCGTGCCTTGTGGCCTTAACAATTTCCTCCCATAGTAGTTTCCCTTGGTCCCTATCTAAGTACATATACAAAGGCACATATGCACTTGTATGCTATGAGTGGAGTCTTCAGTCTGTCATGTTCTTGTGTGTCTTTTGCCTACACTTTGTTGGTATCACTGTGTCAGTTTCATTTGCAGCTCCGTTGTTTAATGATTTTTAATATAATGGCTCTCCCACCAAAGTAGGGTTTTCAGAAAAAAAAAAGTAGGCAGGGGACCTTTGCACCACCATTAATTCAATAGTTGTCTTGCCAGAAGTGTTAAGACATCTCACTTCCAATAACCTTCCATACTGCAATATTCCCTCCACCCCACCTCTTTTTTTTTATGAAATGTTTCCTCATTTGAAATGATTGAAACTCAAAAATGCATCTAGTCTGGTGGCTGAATTATAGGAATGAACTGTGAAGAGGCTAGATGTCTTTTTTCTATTTATATTACATTTGACATTTATGCACTTGAGCAGTGTCTGTTAGTATGAGTTAAGTGCCTGTGCCACAAGATACTCTGTTCCTAAATTAGGGATGCATAAGCTGCAGGCTGCATTCACTTCTTAAGTACCAGTTACTGCCTTTCATATCTTTCTCCCCCCCCCCCAACAAGTCGGCCGTCTCCCACCGAGGCAGGGTGACCCAAAAAAGAAAATGCTTTCATCATCATTCAACACTTTCACCACACTCACACATAATCACTGTTTTTGCAGAGGTGCTCAGAATACAACAGTTTAGAAGCATATACGTATAAAGATACACAACATATCCCTCCAGACTGCCAATATCCCAAACCCCTCCTTTAAAGTGCAGGCATTGTACTTCCCATTTCCAGGACTGAAGTCCGACTATATGAAAATAACTGGTTTCCCTGAATCCCTTCACTAAATATTACCTTGCTCACACTCCAACAGATCGTCAGGTCCCAAGTACCATTCGTCTCCATTCACTCCTATCTAACATGCTCGCGCATGCTTGCTGGAAGTCCAAGCCCCTTGCCCACAAAACCTTCTTTGCCCCCCTCTCTCCAACCCTTTCGAGGACAACCCCTACCTCGCCTTCCTTCCCCTATAGATTTATATGCTTTCCATGTCATTCTACTTTGATCCATTCTCTCTAAATGACCAAACCACCTCAACAACCCCTCTTCTGCCCTCTGACTAATACTTTTATTAACTCCACACCTTTTCCTAATTTCCACACTCCGAATTTTCTGCATAATTACACCACACATTGCCCTTAGACAGGACATCTCCACTGCCTCCAACTGTCTCCTCGCTGCTGCATTTACCACCCAAGCTTCACACCCATATAAGAGTGTTGGTACTACTATACTTTTATACATTCCCTTCTTTGCCTCCATAGATAATGTTTTTTGACTCCACATATACCTCAGTGCACCACTCGCCTTTTTTCCCTCATCAGTTCTATGATTAACCTCATCCTTCATAAATCCATCTTGTCTTATGTTAATAAAAAAAAATTGTTCCTGAATTCCTTCCATTGACTTTACTCACTATATATTCTACATGCATTTCTTATTTTCCACGTGTTAATATTTTGTATTATGGTACATCCCAGCAGCCTTAAATGTTTTAATGTGTTAAAAATTAGTTATTGATTGACACTCTTGTTGCAGCTACCACAGTCTCGCATTGAAGTGGAGCTCAGTTACATCGAGATATACAATGAGCGTATATATGATTTATTAGCAAGTGGAGGAGGTGGAACAGATTGCCGTCGAGGCTCTAAGAGTTCGGGAACACCCTAAAGATGGTCCCTATGTGGAAGGGGTTGCTCGTCATTTGGTGTCATCTTACGACCATCTTCAGGTAAGCTAAATTTAAAATAGTTAATGGTTTATGATTCATGTTGCTAGTACATTTAGTTGTATTGGGTCATCAACAGAATGAACTATAGTGGAACCCTGAGTTTCGAATATAACGACTATCGAACGTTTCAAGTTTCGACCGCTTTTTTCGAACCAATTTTGTCCTGACTATCGAATGCGCCCTGTCTTTCGAACCACTGAGTACCGGACCTGTCCGCTTGCCTGCTCTGTCTGCGTCCCTGCGCAGGCTTCATGAGCCAGCCTGGCTTTGTTGATGCTTGAGTGAACACTAAGCCTGCACGCTCATTCAAACATTTCACTATTAATTCATTGTGTTTGGTGCTTGTGCGACTGTGAAATAAGCTACCATGGGCCCAAAGGAACTTGCTATTGGTATCCCTGTGGTAAAGAAAGTGAGAAACACCATAGATGTGAAGAAGGAAATAATACAAAAATATGAGAGTGGTGTGCCACTTGTTGAGCTTGCCAGGATGTATGGGAAAAAAAAGTCAACCATCGCTTCTATCCTGGCAAAGAAAGAAATCAAGGAAGTTGATGTTGCGAAAGGTGTTATGCTAACCAAAAATAGCCCACAGACAGTCGATTATGTTGAGAAGTTGTTGCTGGTGTGGATCAAAGATAAAGCTATGGCTGGTGGTGGTGTTTGTGAGACAATCATTTGTGAAAAGGCAAGGCAGTTGCATGCCAATTTTGTTAAGAAAACTCCTGGAACCAGTGCTGATAGTGAATTTAAGGTCAGCAGATTTAAGAAGCATAGTGGCATACACAATGTTGTAAGGCATGGCTGAGGCAGCCAGTTCAGACAAACAGGCTGCTGAAAAATTTGTGCACGAATTTCAGGGGTACGTAGCACTAAAAAATTGAAACCCCAACAAGTGTTCATTTGTGACGAAACAGGCCTGTTTTGGAAGAAAATGCCAAAGAGGACCTACATTATTCAGGAGGAAAAGGCTCTCCCAGGACACAGGCCTATGAAAGACAGGCTAACTCTTTTGTTCTGTGCTAATGCTAGTGGGGATTTTAAAGTGAAGCCTTTACTGGTGTATCACTCAGAAAATCCCAGTGTGTTTAAGAAAGTGTCATTAAGAACAAGGTGTGTGTCTTTTGGAAAAATAATAAGACATGGGTCATGAGGCAAATTTTCAAAGAGTGGGTCCATGAAGTGTTTGGCCCCAGCGTGAAAAAATACCTCCTAGAAAATAATTTGCCACTCCAGTGCCTCCTGTTACTGGACAGTGCTCCTGCACATCCTCCAAACTTTGTGGACCTACTGTCTAGGGACTACAGTTTCATCACAGTGAAGTTCTTGCTTCCTAACACCACTCCTCTCCTTCAGCCCCTGGACCAACAGGTCGTTTCTAGCTTCGAAGAACTACACAAAAGCAGTGTTTGAAAAGTGCTTTGAAGTGACCTCAGACACTAAGTTGACCTTAAGAGTTCTGGAGGAATCACTTCAATATCTACACCTACATAAGCCTTATAGGTAAGGCTTGGGGAGGGAGTGACTTCCAGGACTTTGAACTCTGCTTGGAGACAATTGTGGCCACGATGTGTCGTCCAGAGGGATTTTGAAGGGTTTGAGGTTGACCCTGACCCTGCCAACCCTCTGACTGTTGTGGAAGGTATTGTGGCATTGGGCAAGTCCATGGGGTTATTGGCGAGTGGCTAGGATGTGGAAGAGTTGGTGGAGGACCACAGGGAAGAGCTAACCACTGAAGAGCTGGAAGAGCTTCATCTGGAACAGTATCAGACCACAGCTCAGGAACTTGCTTCAGAGGAGGAGGAGGAGGAGGAGGAAGAGGAAGAGGAGGAGGAGGAGGAAGAGGGAGTGGATGAGGTGCCTTCTTCAAAGATTAAAGAGATTTGTGCCAAGTGGAATGATGTGCAAACATTTGTGGAGAAGTGCCACCCTGAGCAAGCTGAAACAAGCCATCTTTGCAACAAGTTCAGTGACAGAACCATGTCCCATTTTAGGGAAACCTTAGAGGTGCCAGAAACAGAGGACTGTGGACAGTTATTTTATGAGACGGGGATCTAGTGACTCTCAAGCTGGTCCTAGTGGCATTAAAAGACAAAGAACGGAAGTAACCCCAGAAAAGGACTTGTTACATAGTCTTTATGGCAGGGGATTCCCCTTCCAAACAATAACCCCAACTCCCTCTCTCCTCCTCCCTATCTTCCAGATGCCATCACCAATATTCAATAAAGGTAAGTAAAAATGTTAATTTTATTTTTTTTTATCACACTGACCGATTCCCACCAGGGCAGGGTGGCCCGAAAAAGAAACTTTCACCATCATTCACTCCATCACTGTCTTGCCAGAAGGGTGCTTTACACTACAGTTTTTAAACTGCAACATTAACACATTTTTATTAATGTATTACTAATTGTACTATGTATGTAGTGTGTATGTAAAACTATAATGTAATCTCTATACAGTGGACCCCCAGTATTCGATATTAATCCGTTCCTGAGAGCTCATCGAAAAGCGAATCAATTTTCCCCATAAATAATGAAAATCAAATTAGTTCGTGCAAGACACCCAAAAGTAAAAAAAAAAAAATTTACCACATGAAATATTAAGTTTAATGCAATAGAATAATTACAATAACAAAATAACAATAGAATAGTTAACACTTACCTTTAATGAAGATCTGGTGATGATTGATGGGATGGGAGGAGGGGAGTGTGTCGAAGTTGTTACTGTTTAGAAGGGGAATCCTCTTCCATTAGGACCTGAGGTAGCAAGTCCTTTTCCGGAGTTACTTCCCTTCTTTTAATGCCACTAGGACCAGCTTGAGAGTCACTGGACCTCTGTCGCACAACAAATCTGTCCATAGAGCTCTGTACCTCCCGTTCCTTTAAGATTTGTCTAAAATGGACCACAACATTGTCATTGTAATAGTCACCAGCATGGCTTGCAATAGCTGTGTTAGTGATTTTCATCCATAAAGGTTTGCAGTTCAACGCACTTTGCACACATTTCCTTAATTTTTGAAGTAGGCACAATGGATTCCACAACTGGCATAGGCTTCTCAGGGTTAGCCCCAAACCCTTCAAAATCTTTCTTAATTTCCATGCTAATTCTCACCCTTTTTACCACAGGCTTCGCACTAGAAGCTTTCTTGGGGCCCATGGTGACTTATTTTGCAGAAAAAAGCACCTTTGATTGAACTTTGTATAGAAAGGGGTTTAGTTATAGGTAATACATACTTTAAGAAAAAGAGGATAAATAAGTATACAAGATATGATGTAGGGCGAAATGACAGTAGTTTGTTGGATTATGTATTGGTAGATAAAAGACTGTTGAGTAGACTTCAGGATGTACATGTTTATAGAGGGGCCACAGATACAGGAGGGCCCCGCTTTACGGCGTTCCGCTTTACGGCGTTCCGCTAATACGGACATTTCAAATTATGACCAAAACTCACTATACGGCTCCCCCCACCTGACTTTCTAATACGGTCACCGTGCCCCACCCTGTTTGTTTACATTCTCCATGAGCTCAGTAAGCACTAAGTCTCTCCATTTTGTCTGGAAACTCCAAAATTTCAAATGTTTTTAAAAGTTATTTCATATTTTATATATTTTTTTTTTTTTTTTTTTTTTTCAACAAGTCATTTAAATGTCGTATATTACGTTAATATACACATTTTCATTAATCCATCCATGATATTTTTTTCAAAATTATATAATAAACACGATGCATAACATATAAATAAGATAAATACACCCCACAGTAGAATAAATAAACATAAATGTGAGATGTGAGCAGACGACTTCCACAAGTGACGCCATAATAACATATAGTCACGGAGTCTCATTAAATGTCGTATATTACGGTAATATACACATTTTCATTAATCCATCCATGATATTTTTTTCAAAATTATATAATAAACACGATGCATAACATATAAATAAGATAAATACACCCACAGTAGAATAAATAAACATAAATGTGAGATGTGAGCAGACGACTTCCACAAGTGACGCCATAATAACAATAGTCACGGAGTCTCATTAAATGTCGTATATTACGGTAATATACACATTTTCATTAATCCATCCATGATATTTTTTTCAAAATTATATAATAAACACGATGCATAACATATAAATAAGATAAATACACCCCACAGTAGAATAAATAAACATAAATGTGAGCTGTGGTAGCAGACGACTTCCACAAGTGGTGATAATAACAATAGTCACGGAGTCTCATTAAATGTCCTATATTACGGTAATATACACATTTTCATTAATCCAGCCATGATATTTTTTTCAAAATTATATAATAAACACGATACATAACATAAAAAGATGATAAATACACCCCACAATAGAATAAATAAACATAAATATAAGATGTGGGAGCCTGGTTTGTTTACATAACTCTGCTTCTGTTACCTCTCATGTACTCATTCTTTCTCTCTCTCATTTATTCGTTTTATCTCATTTACTTACTCCTGACCCTACATTAAGACTACAAATATTTTAAGGTAAGTAATGAGTGAACTGTATATACATTTTATCACTCTGGGATGCTTAAATATCATAGAATAGTATGTGTGGGTGGGGTGGCCTGGTGAGGTAGCCTGGCTATTACAATAGATACCACACTTGATTTCTTACAATAAATACTACTTGTCTCACCCTAGATTAAGACTATAAATATTTTAAGGTAAGTAATGAGTGCACTATGTGTGTATTGTACCTTTTTATTGTTTTTTGATGCCTGGTTCTATTGCTAACTTAATATATGTTAGTGTAAACTTGTTATCTAGTGTTTGTATGCATTTATAAGTGGAAAAAAAGGGTGTTCCACTTTACGGCGATTTCCGCTTTACGGCGGTAGCCTGGAACCTAACCTGCCGTATAAGTGGGGCCCTCCTGTACATCAGATCACTTACTAGTTGTAGCTACACTGACAGTAAAAGGTAGATGGGATACAAGGAGAATAGAAGCATCAGGGAAGAGAGAGGTGAAGGTTTATAAACTAAAAGAGGAGGCAGTTAGGGTAAGATATAAACAGCTATTGGAGGATAGATGGGCTAATGAGAGCATAGGAAATGGGGTCGAAGAGGTATGGGATAGGTTTAAAATGTAGTGTTAGTGTTCAGCAGAAGTTTGTGGTTACAGGAAAGTGGGTGCGGGAGGGAAGAGGAGCGATTGGTGGAATGATGATGTAAAGAGTAGTAAGGGAGAAAAAGTTAGCATATGAGAATTTTTTACAAAGTAGAAGTGATGCAAGGAGGGAAGAGTATATGGAGAAAAAGAGAGAGGTTAAGAGAGTGGTGAAGCAATGTAAAAAGAGTGGTTGAGATGTTATCAACAAATTTTGTTGAAAATAAGAAAGTTTTGGAGTGAGATTAACAAGTTAAGGAAGCCAAGAGAACAAATGGATTTGTCAGTTAAAAATAGGAGAGGAGAGTTATTAAATGGAGAGTTAGAGGTATTGGGAAGATGGAGGGAATATTTTGAGGAATTGTTAAATGTTGATGAAGATAGGGAAGCTGTGATTTCGTGTATAGGGCAAGGAGGAATAACATCTTGTAGCAGTGAGGAAGAGCCAGTTGTGAGTGTGGGGGAAGTTCGTGAGGCAGTAGGTAAAAGGAAAGAGGGTAAGGCAGCCGGGATTGATGGGATAAAGATAGAAATGTTAAAAGCAGGTGGGGATATAGTTTTGGAGTGGTTGGTGCAATTATTTAATAAATGTATGGAAGAGGGTAAGGTACCTAGGGATTGGCAGAAAGCATGCATAGTTCCTTTGTATAAAGGCAAAGGGGATAAAAGAGAGTGTAAAAATTATAGGGGGATAAGTCTGTTGAGTATACCTGGTAAAGTGTATGGTAGAGTTGTTATTGAAAGAATTAAGAGTAAGACAGAGAATAGGATAGCAGATGAACAAGGAGGCTTTTGGAAAGGTAGGGGGGGTGTGGACCAGGTGTTTACAGTGAAACATATAAGTGAACAGTATTTAGATAAGGCTAAAGAGGTCTTTGTGGCATTTATGGATTTGGAAAAGGGTATGACAGGGTGGATAGGGGGGCAATGTGGCAGATGTTGCAGGTGTATGGTGTAGGAGGTAGGTTACTGAAAGCAGTGAAGAGTTTTTACGAGGATAGTGAGGCTCAAATTAGAGTATGTAGGAAAGAGGGAAATTTTTTCCCAGTAAAAGTAGGCCTTAGACAAGGATGTGTGATGTCACCGTGGTTGTTTAATATATTTATAGATGGGGTGGTAAGAGAAGTAAATGCAAGGGTCTTGGCAAGAGGTGTGGAGTTAAAAGATAAAGAATCACACATAAAGTGGGAGTTGTCACAGTTGCTCTTTGCTGATGACACTGTGCTCTTGGGAGATTCTGAAGAAAAGTTGCAGAGATTGGTGGATGAATTGGTAGGGTGTGGAAAAGAAGAAAATTAAAAGTGAATACAGGAAAGAGTAAGGTTATGAGGATAACAAAAAGATTAGGTGATGAAAGATTGGATATCAGATTGGAGGGAGAGAGTATGGAGGAGGTGAATGTATTCAGATATTTGGGAGTGGATGTGTCAGCGGATGGGTCTATGAAAGATGAGGTGAATCATAGAATTGATGAGGGGAAAAGGGTGAGTGGTGCACTTAGGAGTCTGTGGAGACAAAGAACTTTGTCCTTGGAGGCAAAGAGGGGAATGTATGAGAGTATAGTTTTACCAACGCTCTTATATGGGTATGAAGCATGGGTGATGAATGTTGCAGCGAGGAGAAGGCTGGAGGCAGTGGAGATGTCATGTCTGAGGGCAATGTGTGGTGTGAATATAATGCAGAGAATTTGTAGTTTGGAAGTTAGGAGGAGGTATGAGATTACCAAAACTGTTGTCCAGAGGGATGAGGAAGGTTTGTTGAGGTGGTTCGGACATGTAGAGAGAATGGAGCGAAACAGAATGACTTCGAGTTTATCAGTCTGTAGTGGAAGGAAGGCGGGGTAGGGGTCGGCCTAGGAAAGGTTGGAGGGATTGGGGTAAAGGAGGTTTTGTGTGCGAGGGGCTTGGACTTCCAGCAGGCATGCGTGAGCGTGTTTGATAGGAGTGAATGGAGACAAATGGTTTTTAATACTTGACGTGCTGTTGGAGTGTGAACAAAGTAACATTTATGAAGGGATTCAGGGAAACCGGCAGGCTGGACTTGAGTCCTGGAGATGGGAAGTACAGTGCCTGCAATCTGAAGGAGGGGTGTTAATGTTGCAGTTTAAACTGTAGTGTAAAGCACCCTTCTGGCAAGACAGTGATGGAGTGAATGATGGTGAAAGTTTTTCTTTTTCGGGCCACCCTGCCTTGGTGGGAATCGGCCAGTGTGATAATAAAAATAAAAATAAGCACCAAAAACTGATAATATGGAATGTACCGAATGTATCCTTAGATGCACGCACACTGCCTGGCTTGTAAACACTGGCACACACGGGGCAGTTCAGGCCACATGTGGACACGTCTCGTACGAATCGCATCGAATACTGGGTTTTCGATCGGATACCGAGGCGAAATTCTTGCGTTAAAATGCATCGAATACCGGATTTATCGGATTCCGATGCCATCGAATACTGGGGGTCCACTGTAAAATTATTTTTTTGTGAATACTTTTGGGTTTCTAATACAGATTAATTGTATTTTCATTATTTCTTATGGGAAATATTGCTTTGACTTTCAAACATTTCGACTTTAGAACTAACTCCTGGAACGGATTAAAGTTCGAAACTCGAGGTTCCACTGTATATCTATTTAGAAGTCATGAGTGCTTCAGAGTTAGACATTCTCAAGAGTGATTTTAGGTCCATTAAATAAGGTTCTAAGTAATAAACTGTAGATTGCCTATTGTATTTTTTCCTCCTCTCAACAACCTGGTCATATCCTATTGAGGCAGGGTGGCCCAGGCAGGGTGGCCCAGGCAGGGTGGCCCAAAATGAAAAGCAAAAGTTTATCTTTTTAACTTTAGTAATGTATACAGGAGAAGGGGGTTACTAGCCCCTTGCTCCCTGTATTTTTTCTACCTTCTTTAAATTGAAATAGTCAATCAAGGAACAGGAGAGACTTGAGGCCATCGTAGGTGAGTAGTAAAACTCGGTGCACACTGGCCTTAGAGATTTAAGACTGGCCTACCATGGGTTCAAGACCCACCCATTCTATGATTTGTTAGCAATTGTGTTATGATTTTGTGAGTCATGAAATAGTTTCATAGCTCATTTAGTTTTGATGATCCTTCACAAATGGAAAAAATTGCAGATTCCCTACATATAACTTCTTTTAACCAACTTGTCAGACATGGCTGTTGTTGGGAAATAAGGAGCGTTCCATTGCTGCAACTGGTGTCAATGAGAAATCATCTCGTTCTCATGCTGTCTTCACTATCAAACTAACCCACATACAGGTAGGTAGAATAGTTCTTTATAACTCGCAGTTACAAAATTTAGGAGACTACATGTACAAGTAATGTTAATCAATTTGCTTAAGCCTTTCAGTGTCCCACCTGTAGATCTACATCATTGATGCCAGGTTCCCTCATGTAGATCTGTGTGTTGAGCTCGGCTTCCTCAGATAAGCTGTGAGCAGTAAATTTTGACCTAGCTATGAGAGAATGGGTCTGTGTGGTGGGTGTACAGAGTATAAAAATAATCCTGTCTCGCATGGTGCATGATAGGAAAAACAAAACTCTTACTTCGTGTTTGGTTTAATAGCAGTTTTGATGTTTTCTAACAGCTTGAAATTGAGCTCAAAGTAGTAGAAATATTTGATTTTAGCTGATTTTCCTGAGGATGGGTAAAGCCTCCCTACAACCCCAATCTGTTTTATGGGTTTTTACTAGGTCTGATTCAGTTACTGGGATGATATAAACCATGATTAATCATTCCTAGTTATATTTTATTATCCAAGAAATAGGATAAATCTTAGATTTTTTATGTAATATTGAATTCAAAATGGAAGCCAAGTGCAATATAGCAGTGGCCTGTGGATATGATTAATGAGCAGAGGAAATGTTTTAGTTCCTGATGTGTACAATGTTTATTTTGGACTCTGTAGAGTAGAGAGAGAGTGAGATGGCGAGATAGATATACATGATAATATATACCAGGAAAGTACTTGAGGGCCATGTCCCAAATCTGCACACTGCCATAACATACTGGAGGGAGAGATATGGGAGGAAGTGCAAAATAAACCCAGTGAAAAGCAGGGTTGCAGTGGCCACATTAAAGGAACATTGTATCAACATCCGTGGCCGGAAGATATCAGGAACACTGCTAGGACAAGTGTAGAAGTCTTCAAGAGGAAACTGGACAAGTATCTTCACCAGGTGCTAGATCAACCAGGCTGTGATGGATATGTGAGGCAGAAGGCTACCACCAACAACAGCCTGGTTGAACAGACAAACACCAGACAATCCTGGCTCATGACTGGGTTCCAGGAGTAGAAGAACTCTCAGAACTCATCAAAGGTAAATGTATATCTTTTTAAATTAAATTTTTTTAATTTTGTATAAAACTGGCCAAATTACTGACTAGTGTGTGCTTTATAGGGTAGTTCTGATAGTTGAATCAGCAATCTCTTGTGCTCAATAAATAAAATGGAAGACATAGGACTCCATTATGTAAAATTATTGATGTGTAAATTGTGCCCAGACCACTAACTTTTTGCCTCCATGATTCTCTAAATTTTCCATCAAATTTTGTGCTTTTGGTATCATTACCTTCAACATAAAAAAATCTCTATCATTTCAGTTTGTTTTAAATGTGGACACTGAGCAATTATAATTTTTGGGGTCCTGACAGTGAAGGGGTTAAAATGCAAACAGTGTTGCAACTTTTGAAAAACTTGCAAATAACTGTTGCAATACTAGTTATCCTTGCGTTCTGAGTAGGGTGAATACAGAAGGGTCCCACTTTACGGCAATTTGCTAATATGGACATTTCAAATTATTACTTTTTTTTTGTTTTGCTGCTACAGTGTCTGTGCACCACTTTATTTACATCCTCCATGAGCTTCACGTCTATCGATTATGTTTGGAAACTTTCCATAATTTTAAGTGTGTTAAAGTTACTGCATATTTCATATAAACTGATAATTGTACTCTGAGTACCTGTACTTAAACTTACACACTGTGCTGGCATGCAGGTACACATTTCACCCTAAATTAAGGCTACAAATATTTTAAGGTAAGTATTGAGTGTATTGTGTGTGCATTTTACTGTTTGTTATGCCTAGTTCTATTGCTAACTCAGTATATGAGAGCGTAAATGTGTTATCAGGCATTTGTATGTGAAAAAAGGGTTATTTGCTTTACAGCAGGAGCCTGGAAACTGACCTGCCGTATAAACTGGGCTCTTCTCTACCGAGTTTTATACAAAAGTAGTAGTTTGACAGTCATGACAAAGTGCAAGGAAAATTTGTCCGTTTATCAAGAAAGGCCGTGATTGAATGAATGATGAATGTGGTTTTGGTGGAAGAACATGTTAGCTTCTGGTTATGTTTACATAAAGACATTCAGTCCCAGTGCAGTTCAGGACTGTCACAGAATAATATTGAAAGAAAGTACATTATTAAATAGATAGTTTTTAAAGGTTTGTTAGAAGAGCAGAGTATGAACATGCTTAGATTTTTAGCTAAAATATGTAAGTTACCACACTTTTAATCCATATTGCTGCTTAACCCTCTCAGGGTCCAGACCCCTGATCAGGAAAGTGTTCTCATGGTTCAAGAATTTTCCATAAAAAAAAACAATATATGAAATGATAGAGAGGCTTTTTCTGAAGGTAATGAAACCAAAAGTATGAAATTTGATGGAAAACTTGGGGAATTATGCTCTTGTGGAGTTAGCAGTCTTGGCGATATTTACACATTGGCAATTTCACCCACTTTGAATCCTGTTTTAGACCAATTCTGTTGGTCCAGTCGACCAAATTCTTCGCTATATTGTTAGTACAGTAGAAATCCCGTATCTGCAGATTGTTTCCACGGTTTCACATTTGTGGTTTACTGTTCTTCAAAGCCCAAGTCATTAAGTGCTTCCCGTCAATGAAGAAGTAATAATTCTCCACTTAATGTGTGTAATTTATCAATTAAACTTCATCTTAAAGATGTATTTAAACAAAATACAATTTATAGGGTTTGCTACTATCCACAGTTTCGGGTATCTGCAATAGGTCTTCGAACGTATCTCCTGCAGATACCCAGGGGGAGGGGGGGAACTACTGTGTTTCTTCTATTCTAACAATTGACTACAGGAAACTGCCCATTTACCTATTTCAGCTACCCAGTAAAATTATCAGGAATAAGTAATTTGACCAATTTCATACAGTATTCAAAAATTGCTAAATTAAACAAAGTCCAGAATAAACAATGTAGACATTCCTGGTTAAAACATTTCCTCTTAGTTACATCCCTGGGTCTCTCCTATACAGCAAGACCCCCCCCCACCCCCCATATCCACAGGAAATATGTTCCAAGGACCTGCCATGTATACCGAAACTGCAGGTATGTGTAGTAGCAAACTACATGTAAGTGTTTTACATACCTCTTATGATGTTTAATTGATGAATTATGCACAATAAGGGGAGAATTATCTCTCACAGATGGGAAGCACTTCATGGGTTCTCTTAGGCTTTGAAGAACTGTCAGCTTTTCTACTTTTGCAGTTTGGGGCCATTATTATGCAAAATTAAGAGGTATTGTTGGGTCACAGTGGATAACTGCAACTGTGGATACCAAATCAGTGGATATGGGGGTTCTGCTGTATTATGCTTGCTTTCCATTTTAAGTTTTTATTCACACAAATAGATTTACTGTTATGCAGATTACTGCATTATTGTAATAATTGTATAAATAATGTCAGCGCATTCCTAAACGCATATTAGACTGAACAATTGGACACGTATTGGATGAGTGATGTGATTTATGTTCTCTGGAATATCAGCAAAAATCAAACATTTCTGCTAATTTGAGCTTAATTTTGAGATACTTTCAGTCCTGAAACCAAACAAAATGACTATTTCTGTAACACATTATTATTATTATTTTTTTTTCTTCAACAAGTCGGCCGTCTCCCACCGACGCAGGGTGACCCACCGACGCAGGGTGACCCAAAAAAAGAAAGAAAATCCCCAAAAAGAAAATACTTTCATCATCATTTAACACTTTCACCACACACACACTATCACCGTTTTTGCAGAGGTGCTCAGAATACAACAGTTTAGAAGCATATACGTATAAAGATACACAACATATCCCTCCAAACTGCCAATATCCCAAACCCCTCCTTTAAAGTGCAGGCATTGTACTTCCCATTTCCAGGACTCAAGTCTGGCTGTATAAAAATAACCGGTTTACCTGAATCCCTTCACTAAATATTACCCTGCTCACTCCAACAGATCGTCAGGTCCCAAATACCATTCGTCTCCATTCACTCCTATCGAACACGCTCACACAAGCTTGCTGGAAGTCCAAGCCCCTTACCCACAAAACCTCATTTACCCCCTCTCTCCAACCCTTTCGAGGACGACCCCTACCCCGCCTTCCTTCCCCTATAGATTTATATGCTTTCCATGTCATTCTACTTTGATCCATTCTCTCTAAATGACCAAACCACCTCAACAACCCCTCTTCTGCCCTCTGACTAATATTTTTATTAACTCCACACCTTTTCCAAATTTCCACACTCCGAATTTTCTGCATAATATTTACACCACACATTGCCCTTAAACAGGGCATCTCCACTGCCTCCAACTGTCTCCTCGCTGCTGCATTTACAACCCAAGCTTCACACCCATCTAAGAGTGTTGGTACTACTATACTTTCATACATTCCCTTCTTTGCCTCCATAGATAACGTTTTTTGACTCCACATACACCTCAACGCACCACTCGCCTTTTTTCCCTCATCAATTCTATGATTAACCTCATCCTTCATAAGTCCATCCGCCAACAAGTCAACTCCCAAGTATCTGAAAACATTCACTTCTTCCATACTCCTCCTCCCCAATTTGATATCCAATTTTTCTTTATCTAAATCATTTGATACCTTCATCACCTTACGCTTTTCTATGTTCACTTTCAACTTTCTACCTTTACACACATTCCCAAACTCATCCACTAACCTTCGCAATTTTTCTTTAGAATCTCCGTAAGCACAGTATCATCAGCAAAAAGTAACTGTGTCAATTCCAATTTTGAATTTGATTCCCCAAAATTTAATCCCACCCCTCTCCCGTACACCCTAGCATATACTTCCTTTACAACCCCATCTATAAATATATTAAACAACCATGGTGACATTACACATCACTGTCTAAGACCTACTTTTACCGGGAAGTAGTCTCCCTCTCTTCTACACACCCTAACCTGAGCCTCACTATCCTCATAAAAGCTCTTTACAGCATTT